GGAGTGCAAAGAAGGGTGACTTTATGTTTCATCCTGTACATTCTATACTCTTTGAATTATTGTAATGATAAAAACGCCATTTTATGTTATTTGTATAATAAAAAATAAGCTTACTGGATAAAATGCATAGGAAATAAATAGAAAATTTCAAGTAACTCTGCAAGGAGAAAAAAAAAGCCATGAAATTGTAAGCAAAACCATTCTTCAACTAGGGCAGGGAAAGCTATACCGGATTTGCTTCAGTTTAGCTATAAAAGTGAAATAAAACTGCCAAAGCAGAGACTTAAAATGTACAGAGACTTACTACTATGCTCTGATTTACAGGTGTTCTTTATGTATTAACTAAAGATTCATTGTTAACTTTGAAAATGATGAGAAAATAGGAATGCAGTCCTTAAATACCAGAGTCCTGAGGACGCAAAAAAATTTGAGGATACTCAAGGGGTCCTTGTGTTCGTGAAGAAACATCTCTGTTCTGTGTGGTACAATCTGATCCATTCTTTGAGCAGGGGGTGGGGGCTGGGAGAAATGGGTGAAGGTGGTTCAAAAGGTACAAATTTCTAGGTTTAAAATAAATAAGTCCTGGGGATGTAGTGTATAGCTCACTATGTGGTATATTTGAAAGTTGCTGAGAGAGTAAATCTTAAAAGAAGAAGAAAAACAAAATACAAGAAAAAATTGCAACTATGCATGGTGATACATGCTAACCAGACTTAGTGCCGTGATCACTTCACAATATATTTGTATATATCTAATTGTTACATTGTACACATGAGGCTAAGAAACATTATATGTCATTGTGAGGGATGAAGAAGTTCAATGACTGGTGCGTGAGACACCATGCTGGTTTGAAGACAGTACCCATCATGTTATCTGGCACACAGTAGCTGTTGTTTAGTTGCTAAGTTGTGTCCAACTCTTTGTGACCCCACAGACTGCAACTGGCCAGGCTCTTCTGCCTATGGGATTTTCCAGGCAAGAATACTGGAGCAAGTTGCCATTTTCTCCTCCAGGGGATCTTCCTGACCCAGGGATAGAATCCTCATCTCCTGCGTTGGCAGGCGGATTCTTTACCACTGAGCTACCATCCATGGTAGGCATTCATTAAAAATGATTTTCATCATTTTCATCATTTTCATCATTGCTGGTGGCGCAGTGGTAAGGAATCCACCCGTCAATGCAGGAGACAGGGGTTCAATCTCTAATCTGGGAATATCCCACATGTCGGGGAGCAGCTAAGCCCATGAGCCCCAACAATTGAGCCTGTGCTCTAGAGCCCAGGAACCACAACTACTGAGTCTGCCTGCCCTAGAGCCTGTGCTCCGCAACAAGAGAAGCCACCGCAGTTGAGAAACCTGCCCGCCACAACTAGAGTAGCCCGAGAAGAAACGGAGACCCAGCATGGACAAAAGTACATAAATAAATTATCAAGAAAACTTCATTCCTTTAGGAAAATGAGTTTCACTTCCTTCGTGGCAGAGATATCTAGACCTCAAATCCAGTGCTTTTTTTCAGAATCCGATCCCATCACTTCCATGAGTTACACCTCTATGTGTTTATTTCTACCAGCAAAGGTCACCTAACTAATCAGCCATAAAATTAACCAAGAGTATTCATAGGTTTTCACTGTTTCCAGCCTGTTTCCCTGTCCTTCACAGCCTGATGCGGACTATATTACTACCACCTCCACTTTACAGGTGAGGAAAAAGAGGTTCAGAGAACATAAAGTCATTCCTAGGGTCACACACTGTGAATAGTCCAGCCAGAACTTGGACTCAGCTCATCTTAGAAAATAAAATCTCTGTGTCAAAAGATCTTATGAAAGACATTCATCTTTTTGGCAAGAAGTGATCACTGAACACTACAGAAGGGTGCATAAATAAAGCAGTCTCTCTTCTGTGCTCTGGAAGACAGGAAAGGGAGAGGTTGCTCTTGAAAGTAAGTTTGATTTTGCAATATGGGTGTTGTTTAGACAGAGTGATGATCCTAGATGGCCACTGTAGCACTGTCTGATTAAAGTCCTCGCAGTTGAAATGATGCTGCTATGAGGGGTTAGGGAGACCCTGGCCTGGCTGTATGGAAAAGTTCAGACGGAATAAAAGGGAACAAATTTGAGTCAGTTGAACTGAGGTGGGTAAACCTAGAGCCTATTATACAGAGTGAAATCAGAAAGAGAAAAACAAATATCATATATTAATGTATATATATGGAATCTAGAAAAAATAGTGCTGATGAACCTACTTGCAGGGAAGGAATGGAGACGCAGAGAATGGACCTGTGAACACAGTGGGGAAGGAGAGGGTGGGACAGATTGGGAGAGTAGCAGGGACATATATACACTGCTGCTGCTGCTGCTGCTGAGTCGCTTCAGTCGTGTCCGACTCTGTGCGACCCCACAGACGGCAACTCACCAGGCTCCCCTGTCCCTGGGATTCTGCAGGCAAGAACACTGGAGTGGGTTGCCGTCTCCTTCTCCGATATATACGCTACCGTGTGTAAAATAGCTAGCTAGCGGGCAGCAGCGAGTAGCACAGGGAGCTCAGCTTGGTGCTGTGATGGCCTCGAGGGGTGGGATGGGGTCAGAGGAGGGAGACCAACAGGGAAGACACGTGTGTGTGTGTGTGTGTGTGTGTGTGTGTGCAATTATGACTGATTCGCACTGTTGTATGGCAGAGACCAACACAACATTGTAAAGCAATTTTCCTCCAGTGAAATTTTCCTCCAGCTTTAAGCAGAGAGAAAAGCTTTCAGGCTGAGAAGTGGTGGCATAATTGGGCTATACCTCCACTCCCCAGTCTATCCACAGTTCCCAAAATTTTCCTGGAGAAATCTTGCGTTTCCTATGGAGGTGGGATAGAGGCCCACTTAAGGCTTTTACAGGTCCTTCCTATTAGGGACCTCCCACCACATGTCATAAAAAAACACATAAAAATGCACTCATATCTCACATTAAATACAATTTATACATAACTCTACATCACAGGATTGTCCAGTGTCCTCAGCTTAGACTCAGATGTACTGAGGCTCTAAGCCAAGAGATGCTACCTTCCAAAGCGAGGTGTGCGCTGACTACATAGAACCCATAAAAGAAAGCTTCGAAGGGACTTTCTTGGTGGTCCAGCGGCTAAGACTCCACACTCCCAAAGCAGGGGACCCAGGTTCGGTTTCTCGTCAGGGGCCTAGATCCCACAAGCTGCAATTAAGAGTATTCAATGTTGCAGCTAGGGCTTCCCTGGTGACCCAGGGGTGAAGAGTGTGCCAGTCAATGCAGGAGACTCGAGTTCCATCCCTGTATTGGGAAGATCCCCTGGAGAGGGAAATGGCAACCCATTCCAGTATTCTTGTCTGGGAAATCCCAAGGACAGAGGAGCCTGGTGGGCTACAGTCCATGGGGTCGCAGAGAGTTGGACATGACTGAGCAACTCACATTTTAACGCCTTTAGTGAGATAGGCTGCTGAGTCCCATCCACTCTGCCTTTAAGGGAGGATGGACGGGGCATGTGTCCCTTCACATGAAGTCTAGAGAGAGGAGGGCTTTAAGGAGACCACTCAGAGAGCTCAAATGCAACTTGAGTGACACCAGACTGGGGGTCTAACTTACAGAAATCTACAGGGTGCGAATGGCAGGCTAGTCCCCTGGTGGTGGAACTTCGGGGGCATTTCCTACATGGGTGACCAACACTCTCAGAGTCCATCTGGAAGAAGGAGGCATAGGTGTCGTCCGTGGAGCAGAGGTGAGCTCCTGGCATGGCCCACCTGGCATGGGCTGTCTGAGACCTTGATCAAATGGCCCCTGTGAAGGGGCAAGTGAGTAGCTAGATTCTCAGCAGAAAGAGGAGCCAGTGGAGGGTCTGCAAAGAGATGACATGAACTCCCAAGTAAACATCAGCTTTTCTCTGTGATGCCAACTCCTGATGACCTGAGTCTGTCTGCCCTGCTTTCCATCTTCCTTGCTCAGTCTCTCAGCCATGGTCATCCAAATGGGAAAGAAAGTTAATTGTGAAAACTATAAAAGGAAGAAGTACTAACCACAGGCACCTCCCAACACACAGAGTATCTTTAAAGGGAACCAAAATAAAACTCCCAATGAACACATCTCAAGAGTCATGCTTGTTCCACTTAAAGCTCATGTGTATGAGCTGAATTTAGTCGACACACAGTTACATGCTGTCGACAACTGAGTACTTGCCAAGTTTGATTTTGTAGATTTTTTTTCTCTTACTTTGGAGACAATATCTTACTTTAGTATCATATCTTAAACAATTTCATAGGGCCTGCATGCATGTGTATGCTAAGTTGCTTTAGTCAAGTCTGACTCTGTGCTACCCCATGGACCGTTGCCCGCCAGGCTCCTCTGTCCATGGGGTTCTCCAGGTAAGAATACTGGAGTGAGTTGGCATGCCCAGGAGATCTTCCCAATCCAGGGATCAAACTCAAGTCTCTTATGTGTCCTGCACTGGGGAGTGTTCTTTACCACTAGCACCACCTGGGAAGCTTCGACCCAAGGTTTGAACCCAGGTCTCCTGTGTTGCAGGCAGATTCTTTGCCACCTGAGCCACCGGGGGATCCCTTGAGAGGTCTACGTGTCCTCTAGCACAGAAGGAGTAAAGTGACCATGGACTGCATAGTCAGAAGGTCTCAGGGCCTGCATTTTGAAGGTGTGAGTTCAAGTCTGGCTCTAACATTGAGATCTGTGACTCTGGACCCTGGCTTTCTCATCAGTGAAGCCAGGAGGCTGGACAGTTGGCCCCTCCTGTTCCGATAAGTTTGGGACTCACATCTCTCGGATTTCACTAGTAGCCCGTGCATCCTGACATATATTCAGCGTATATAAATGTCTGCTTGCTCAATGAATAAACCAGTGACAGCTGGTCCTAGCTGAGCCGTCTGGACTGTGCCCCTGTGTCCCTCAGAACACCAGGGTGGTGGGCTGCCTTTGGGTTGGAGGAGAGGCTGCTCCTCCCCGGAGGGATGAGCAGGCACGCACACGTTCCTCCTACCTTGTTGAGGGTGTTGAGGGCCGCCTGGGCTGCCGTGAGCGCCGGTTCTGCCTTGGCCAGGTCTTCCTCACAGTCCTTCTGCTTCCGCTGCACCTCCAGCATGATGAGAGCCACCTTCCGCTCCTCCTCATCGGCGATGGCTTTCTCTCTGCTCACCTTGTCCGTCTCCACGCCCACCACCTGAATCAGCTTGTCGGCATCTTCATTCTTCTGCCTTAGCTCCACTTCCTGGGTGGCCAGCTTGGCTTTCAGCTCATCCACCTGCAACAGAGAAGCGGCAGGTTTTTTTAGATGGGACCATGATGGGGTCTGACCCTGCAGGGCAGGGAAGAAGGCCAGCTCCTGATGCAAAGGCGCGAAGCTGAGCTCTCAGCTGGGACCAAGCTCCCTGACATGGGAAAGGAAAGGAACCCTGGCCGCCCTCTTCTTCTCTCCCCTGCAGCAAATGTGGTGGAAGATTCTAAGCAACAGATGCCATGAACTTTTTTTCTCCTTGATGCCCAAATGACATAGGTGACTTCTCACTGACATCGGTGTCTGTGTCTTATAAAAACCTCATGCCTAACATAACACTTCACACATAGTAGGGCTTTACTAAGCAACAGTTTTTCTTTAATTGACTTTGGCCAGTTTGGAATGCACTGAGGATTTAGCAAACTATAAAAAGTGAGTGTCCACTGGGTATCCTGAAAGATGGAATATATGAACAGACAGTGGCCAGACCATAAAAGCAGAACTCTGATCTAGAACCTGCAAGATGGTGGAGGAATAGGATGGGGAGACCACTTTCTCTCCTACAAATTCATCGAAAGAACAATTGAACACTGAACAAATTTCACAAAACAACTTCTGACCGCTAGCAGAGGACATCAGGTGCCCAGAAAAGCAGCCCATTGTCTTCGAAGGAAGGTAGGACAAAATATAAAAGATGATTTAGAACCTGCAGCAACCTACCCAGGAGACCAGCCCATTATCCACAGCAACCAGCTCAGAAAGCCAGCATGCCATAAGTCAGATTGAAATGGAACAGGACCCTATGGTCCTTGTCCCGGCAATATCTGCAGCCTGCCTTTTGTCGGTGGAAAAACATTAGCCAAAAAATAAATTTAATCAGAGAGGTGAGAACATGCACAAACAAAGGAAGACAGTCAAGGGAGACCAAATAATAACATAGTCATTAAACATAGTCAAGGACCTTTGGTTTCTTCTCAAGGGCTACAGATAATATTCTGAACCATATCCTGTGTAGATACTGAAATCCCTACCAGGTTAAGAAGTCAGCCTCAGGATGACCAGACTGTAGCCATGATATAAGCTGCCATAATTCTGAGAACTGGCCTCAAGGAAATGGGAACACACTGACCCTGGAATTGAAGATTAACTGTATTTAATTAAGATGATGCTGGTCACACCAGCGATGACCAATTTCAAGTTGACTGTCAGAGCTGTGCTGTTTCTGCACAGAGCCCCCTTCCTCAGCCTACAAAAACTCTTGCCCATGGACTGTTACCAGGCAGGGGTCTGAAGCCTTTGAATAGACATCCGCTCTCCTCCCCAGTTGCTGGCATCCAAATTATGCAAATTTTCCTTTCCACCAACCTGGCCTCTTTACTGGCTTTTGAGCAGCCAGCGACTAGACCTTGGTTTGGAAATAAGTCTACTGTCTAAGTAACAGTCCAGGAAGACAGGCAATAACCTCTATAAGAATCAGTTCAAAATGGCAGGGACTTGATTAATAACTGACAACCTTCTTAACTTTATCCCAGTGTAGGACCAGAAATGAGAGAAACTCATGAGAGAAATTCAAACACCCACCCCTAAACGACTAAAGACGCACAGCTTCTGATCTGCCCTCCTCTGCCTCCCGACAGCCAACAGCCTCTGTCCGTGAAGGTCCTTTCTTCCAACCATTTAGCTTCCCCATTCCTCTGCCTGTCTTTGTGTTTCCTCTTGTTGCTGCTTAGTTGCTAAATCATGTCTAACTCTTTGTGACCCTATGGACTGTAGCCGGCCAGGCTCCTCGGTTCATGGGATTTCCCAGGCAAGAATACTGGAGTGGGTTGCCATTTCCTTCTCCAGGGGATCTTCTGGACCCAAGAATCAAACTCATGTCCCCTGCATTGGCAGGCAGATTCTTTACTGCTGAGCCATCAGGGAAACCTTTTATGTCTCTACCAAAGTGCAAATGATGGTGGCTGACTGCCTTGCTAGAGTGAGCTCTGAATAAAGAGCCTTTGCTTGTCCTCATTTAGTTGGACTTCATCTATTCCCACAGTCCTTTCAAGAAGTAGATGACTAGGTTGAAGTGGAACAGCATGGATTCTGATGGTCCAGACCATCTGTGTTCTCCGCCTAGCTCTATGTCCACGCACATTTGGGGACAATGATGGAGTGGTGGGAATACCAGCTCCTAGGAATACTTCTATGTTCCCAATCAGCTAGGAAGAGGTGAATGGCTTTCTATGTGCTCAGGAGGGGGTTAAGGTTCTCAGAATGTGGTCCTCGGATCCCAGAAGGTGGTACCCAGCCTCAGCACCACCTGTGAAATGCAAAGTCTGGGGTTTCCCTAGTGGTCCAGTGGTAAAGAACCCACCTGTCAAAGCATGGGACATGGGTTCCATCCCTGGTCCAGGAAGACCCCACATGCGGCGGAGCCACTAAACCAGTGTGCTGCAACGACTGAGGCCCATGTGCCCTGGAGTCTGTGCTCCGCAACAACGGAAGCCACCGCAATGAGAAGCCTGCTTGCTGCAACTAGAGAAAGCCCACACGCAATAATGAAGACCCAGCACAGCCAATACATAAAATAAAATAAATAAATACAATCTTAAACAGGAAAAGAAAGAAATCAAGTTGTCTGGTCCACTCTGGACCAGAATTAGACATTCTGGTGGTGGGGCCCTGCAATCTGTGTTTTAATAGGCCCTCTGGGTGAATCTGATGCCTGCCTAGTTTTGACAATCTCAAGCCTAACTCACACCCTGTTCACGTGCAAAGAGAAGATTTAGATCTATTTATTTCTGGAAAGTAAAAAAAAAAAAGTCAATTGTATTTGCAATATGGCCCATAAACTTTGCATCCCAAGATGACCTCTTGTCTCTCATTTTTCTGAAGTCTATTTCATGCAACCACCAAAGATTACTTCAGAGCTCCTAGAACATGTCAAACAGATTCAAATGCTTTATGCTGCAAAAATAAAACGGGGGCTTAGACGTTGCCGATAATTCCCTTTTCATGGCAGATCAAAGGAAAAGAAAATGAAGGCAGAAGAAAAAAAGAATGCGCTTTAATTTTCTGTATTCATAGAAATCGGAGACTTTGCTTAACCTCAGATGGAGGCCTGCTCCCTAGAATGGGTCTTGTATTCTCGTGTTGGAAGGTTAATCCCTTTCCATCTCCCGTTGTTCAGCTGCAGAGTAATTTCTACAAGGACAAAGATGCAATTGTAAATCAAAATGATTGAACCACATAATCACTCCAGTCAGCAAACACACCAGTAACTTTGTGTTCCTTTCCAAATCTTGGGAGATTTGAGAAAATTGAAGTGGGTTTTTTTTGTTATTGTTGTTATTGTTGTTTATGGATTGCAGATTTGCCCTATGGCCTCAGGCCCTGGGTAAATAATCACCAGTGCTGTGGATGGAAGCTCGATAACTCTTAAGCTGTGACATGGAGTGACACGAGGGGCCAGCCAGGCAGAAGTAGGCTGTGACTGCTCACACAGTCGCATCCAACTCTTTGCAACCCCATGGACTGTGGCCCACCAGGCTCCTCTGTCCGTGGGGTTTCCCAGGCAAGAATACTGGAGTGGGTGGCCATTTCCTACTCCAGGGGATCCTCCTGATCCAGGGATTGAACCCATGTCTCCTGCATCTCCTGCATTGGCAGGCAGGTTCTTTGCCACTGAACCACCCGGGAAGGAATCAGAAGTAGGCTACAGACAAGGCAGAACCCAGGATCATTTTGTGGCTCTTCTTCAGTAGAACAGGACATTGAGATAAGTGACTTAAACATTTTCCCTTCCCTTTCCCCCTTATTCAAAGCATTCAGGCTACACTCTGGGTTTCTTGTCACATAGACACTCCCACACTTGGATAGGAAGATTAAGAGGGGAGGTGCTACCAACACTGATGAGACCCTCTCCCCACAAGTACCGACCATATATGCTGACTCTGGGAGGTGGGGGGGATGCTGACTGAGTCCAGTGAGGGTAAGATGGTGGTGGAAGACCCTCCCTTCTTCAAGGTCCAGGCACAATGATGTTCAGAGAGAGGACCTTCTCCCCAGAGCTCCAGAAGATAGAGAAGGAATCTAGAATAATCAGTCACAAATAACACTCCATCAAAAGTTGGAGGCCTAGAGATAGCTTCCTTCTTGACTCAGAATCCATGGAGTCTCCAAACACTTTCTTTTTTTTATTATTAAAATGAAAATTTAATGGTTTATATAACTTAATTCTGGGGCTATACTGGCTTCATCCTAGAACACAAATGACATCATGTCTCTCAACTCTGTTCTACTTTAAAGTGAATACATTTCTAGTCAGTGACTCCCATCAGGATGGCAAGATAATGGCCAAGAACTTGAGATTATACCCTCATACCTCCAACCACAGAAAGTAAAGGAAGAAAAGAATCTTAGAATTAGTATCAGCATGCCTGAGTCAATCACTTGGGTCATGGGTCCATACCTGAAAGAGACTCAAGACCAAATGTCTCTGAGACCCTATGCCTACGTTACAAATCCAATCCAAGAGCCAGGGATAAAGTCAAAACTTGCAACAATTTCTGATACTAATTTGAACTTCAAGCAGGCTTTCCTCTTAGATACAGATATTTTCCGTCTAGAGTAGACATCTGTTAGGTTTGCCTGCCTAACAACAATAATAATATAACAACTAATAATAATAATAAAACTATGTTCTGGTAACACAACTTGGTTTTCTTTTGGAGACCTCTCCTTTGCAAGCCCTTGTATTTTGGGTGGGGCCAACTTTGATGGTTGTCATGGATCCTGGCTCGGCCAATGAGAGGGTCCACGCTATAGATTGGCTCAATATGGGCAAACCAAAGCCCCAAAAAGCTCTCTCAGAGCCAACCCAGGAACTTGGCTGAAAATACTGGAAAAGAAAGAAAGAAAGGACTTCGCTGACAGTCCAGTGGTTAAGAATCCACCTTCCAATGCAGGGGACAAGGGGTCCCTGGTCAGGGAACTAAGACCCCACATGCGTCTGAGAAACTAAGCCAGCCCATCACAAATAG